ATGCAGGCCCACAGATGGCTCCCAACTTCATCCTATTTCCTACTTGTAGTCTCAATAACAATAAAAGCTTTTCAAATGAGCTGATGTAGGTAAAAGCTCTTAGCTTGCCAATAAAGTTTAGGTTATCCTTAACCTGTAAATAGCTGTCAAAAAAGCTAGGGATCCTTAACCTGTAAAAACCTGGTGTAAAAAAAAAAAAAAAAAAAAAAAAAAAAAAGAGAGAAAGAGGTAAAGAGAGAGAGAGAAAGTGAGGTAAAGAGAGAGAGAGAAAGAGGTAAAAGAGAGAGAGAGAAAAGAGGTAAAGAGAGAGAGGAGAAAGAGGTAAAGAGAGAGAGAGAAAAGAGGTAGAGAAGAGAGAGAAAAGAGGTAAAGAAGAGAGAGAGGTAAAGAGAGAGAGAGAGAGAGATGTAAAGAGAGAGAGAGAGGTAAAAGAGAGAGAGAGAGGTAAAAGAGAGAGAGGTAAAGAGAGAGAGGTAAAGAGAGAGAGGTAAAGAGAGAGAGAGGTAAGAGAGAGAGGTAAGAGAGAGAGTAGAGGGAGAGGTAAAGAGCGAGGGGTAGAAGGGAGAGGTAGAGAAGGAGAGGTAGAGAGGGCGAGGTAGAGAGAGAGGGGGAGGTAGAGAGAGAGGGAGAGGTAGAGAGAGGGAGAGGTAGAGAGAGAGGGGTAGAGAGGGAGAGGTAGAGAGAGAGGTACAGGTAGGTAGGTAGGTTTTTTAGTGCCAGGAAGGAAAAAAAACTGGCAGAAATCGTACACCAAATCCAGTCATTTCTGGAGTGGAATCACAATCGATGGCCTCCACTCCACACCAACAGATACAGATATTAGTGCCAGGAACCCCCCACCAGTGCCACCCATACTACCAATCCAATGACATTCTTCTTTGCAAATATACAGGGTCTCAAGCCAGCAACGAACAACAAAATACCTTTCATCCATGGACTGCTTGCAGAGGCAAATGCAATGTCGCAGTTTTCCCACAGAGACCCCACATAAAGGATCACTTTTTTTTGGGATAACCGAAATATGGATCCCAGGTTACAACCTATACAGATGCGACAGAGTGAACAGGCAAACGGGGTGGGGGGTTGACCTGTATATCACAGTCGCTTATTTGCACAGAACCGCTGATAGCGCTAACATCCCTTATCATAAAAATCTTTGAAAGGGTCCTAAGAAGCAAGATTGCCACCCATCTAGATACTCATCAATTACACAACCCAGGGTAGCATGGGTTTAGCGCACAAAATGAATGCTAAAGAATAACAGGAAAAGTTGGTATAATTTCTTGACAAACTGAAGACAGAGTAAAGTCTGAGGTGGCTACAGTGACAAGCTCTGTTCCGCAAGGCACAGTACTTGCTTCCATCTTGTTCCTCATCCTCATATCTGACATAGACAGGGATGTAAGCCACAGCACTGTGTCTTCCTTTGCAGATGACACCCAGATTTGCATGACAGTGTCTTCCATTGCAGACACTGCAAGGCTCCAGGCAGACATCAACCAAATCTTTCAATGAGCTGCAGAAAACAATATGAAGTTCAACGATAAGAAATTTCAATTACTCTAATATGGTAAACGTGAGGAAATAACCCTTTGACTGTCGCGGCCGTATATATACATCTTACGAGGTACCGTGTTTGACGAATATATACTCATAAATTCTAGCGGCTTCAAATCAAGCAGGAGAAAGCTGGTAGGCCCACATGTGAGAGAATGGGTCTGTGTGGTCAGTGTGCACCATATAAAAAAAATCCTGGAGCACGTAGTGCATAATGAGAAAAAAAAACTACGACCGTTTTTTTTTAATTAAAATGCCGACTTTGTGGTCTATTTTCGTATAGTATTTATGGTTGTATTCTCGTTTTCTTGGTCTCATTTGATAGAATGGAAAACATATTATAGGAAAAAGAGGTGATTTTGATTGATTTTACTATAAAAAGAACCTAGAAATGGAGCTCAAAGTAAGGGGGAAATGTTTGATTTTTGCCAGTTCAAAATAAACAAATGATGCCATTTGGTCCAATAATTCCAACTAGCATTCTAAGATGCAGTCATGAATGGGATGATGTTATTTATACAATTATTACAGTATTGCAGTAGTCTGCATAATAGTAACTCTTCTATTTTTTTGTTTGAATAAAAATTCAAAATAGAAAGCAAGAGTAATGTCCAAGGTGCCTGGAGACATACTGATAAGCAAAGAAAATGTTATTTTTTAGAGCCAGGAAGGTCTGCATTGTTTCATTCTGGACCTTATTTTTGGAAAGTGTCATATTTTTAGTTTTCGTGAAATTGGCCAAATTGCAAATTTCTGACCACATTACAGTGTATTAGGTAGTTGAAATCGGTAAATGGGCAGTTCTAAAGAAATAGCTGAGTTTGGGCGACTGGAACAATGGAATTAGCCGAAAATAGGGCTCAAAGTGGGCGAAATTGCCGATTTGTAACAGTGCCGAGGTCGCTAACTTCGGCGAGAGCATAATTCCGTCAGTTTTCCATCAAATTTCGTTTTTTTTTTTTTGGTGTCATTACAATCGGGAAAAGATTCTCTATCATTTCATAAGAATTTTTTTTTTTTTTTTTTTTTTTTTTTTTCTTTTTTTTTTTTTTTTAAATTTGCGCACCAGAGACACCTCAGATTGGGGGTTGCAACAGTCAAAGGGTCAAAACTTCATAAGGAGTGTAAAACAAATTCCAACCACAGACAATAGAGTGAAAAACTAATGTCCAAGACCTGGGAAAGTGATCATGTCGGAGGATCTCACCTTCAAGGACAGTACATTGTATCCACATCGCATCTGCTTAGAAAAATGACGGATGGATAATGAGGAACCTTCAAAACTAGGATGCCAAGCCCATAATGATACCTTCACAGGTTGCCTTGTTCTCTCTAACTGAATATTGCTGCACACTAACAGCAACATTTAAAGTGCAGGTGAAATTGCGACCTAGAAAATGTACAGAGACTTTCACGGCACGCATAACCGAGATAAAACACCTCAATTTACTGGGAGTGATTGATGTTCTAAACCTGTACTTCCTCTGAAATTGCAGGCGGGAGAGATGCATGATTATATACACCTGGAAAATCCTAGAGGACTATACCAAACTTGCACACAAAAATCACTCCTATGAAGGCAAAAGACTCGAGCAGACGATGCCAGTATCCCTCCCAGTGAAAAGCAGGGTGTTACTAGCACGTTAAGAGAACACAATGAGTATCGGGGGCCCAAGACTGTTCAACTGACTCCCAGCATTCATAAGGGGGATTACCAATAGACCCCTGGCTGTCTCAAGCAGGCGCTGGACAGCAACCTAAAGTTGGAAACCTGACAGCCGGCTGTGATTGGTACATTTGATTGCGATGCAGCCAGGCAGAACAGCCTGGTTGATCAAGCCCTGAATCCCCCATGAGCCTTGGTCACGGACTGGGCTGCGGGGGCGTCGACCCCCGGAACTCCTCTCACCGGTACACCTTCCAGTATGTGTTTAGCACTATTCCCATGAATATAAAAGAGTAGTTATTTGAAAGTGACAATTCCTTAAAAAAAATATGGCTGTAGTTACCAACTATGTACTACTAATTGGAACCCAGACATTAGTTTACACCTTACAATATATAACAATTCATGTACATAATGGAATAAGGTATTTCTGTGCAGATTGTTGTTTTGGAAGAGAGGAAGAAATAGTAATGTACAGTATTTTTGCTGCACAGCCCACATCCGGCTAATAATAAGTTTATTTAGGTACAGGTACAAATAAATAGTTACACAATTATCATACATTGTAACATATGTATTAAATTACCTAGATAACCCAGAAAAAGTTCTGACAGTGACCTTACTTTTAGTATTGAGGTCCTGTTATGTACCAGTATAAATGTAAACAACAAACAGGATTGATGGTAGAATAACGTTAAGTTACTTCAGATGTAGATTATTTTAGAGTGGTTGGGTTTGTTAGGTTTTGTGGTTATATTTATTACATACAACACAAATACTATCTTAACTGCAAAACCAATTCAAGCATTTTAATTCATATTTTAATGACTGAAATGGCTTGCAAACATTACCAATCATGCTTTGCCTCACACGGTGGTTCAATCCCCAGCAAGGGTGGGAAATGTTGGCGTGTTTCCCTACACCTGCTGTTTCGTGTTCACTGACGCTTAAATAGATACCTGGTGTTAGTCAGCTATGTTGGGTTTTGTAATCGTGGGAGGCCAGATTGAAAGACCCCCAATAATATCATTATTTCCTTCAAGTACATGACAAGGTATACAAGCCTAGCTGACATCAGTGACATACATTTCTTTTCTGGCAGATTAGGTCCAGTTTTGTCCCCAGGGTGTGACCCACACCAGTTGACTAGACGCCCAGTAACCATTTACCGAGGGTGAACAGGGACCGCAGGTGTCCTAATGGAAACACATTTTAATGTTTTCCCACCCGTACTGGGGAATCAACCCCCAGACCTCAGTGTGTGAGCTGACTGCTCTACGAATGAGCCTATGGGAAATAAGTCCTCAGTTATCCAGTGGCAACCCTCTGGCTAAAAAATCCTAACAATCTTATTATATATTGTATGTTTTTGGGCAATTATAGTATGTTTCTTCCTCAGCATATTTTTTGGCTCTAATAGTTTTTTTAAAAATTGCCGATGTTTACATAGGTTTTTTCATGGAGATATTTTTATGCCAATGCAAAAAAAAAAAATGAATAGTAACCTAATATGCCTAACATAACCTAGAATTCATGGTTGATATTCAGTTTAGTTGCTTGATGGAACTTAGTTACATAATTTTTATCATTCAAGCAAGGTATCCAAACTCAAGCAAAAATTAGTTTTCTGCAAAGTTTATTTTGGGAGATATTAACATATATAACTTTTATGAGAGGAAGATTTAGGTGTAAAATGTGTGCCATGTCCAGTTAGTGCCTAGCATTCAATTCAGGTGATCTAGTCATAGACTTAGCGCAAAATTTTTATTTCTTACAGGTGTGGCTAAAAGGAAAAGAATGGCAGCAGTGCAGCCTGAGGCAAGTGATAATGCAGAGGAGGAAAGTTATTTTGCTAGTGCTGGTGGCACCTATGTGGAGGATCCGTTTCCTAATTTGAAAGGATTTCTATACTGGGCAAACACACAGTCAAAGGATGCAGTGAGTGCCAGAATAGAAATGGTATGTGCACTGCATTGTCTGAAATGCAACTGCATGCTAGTGGCTTTCAT